TCTATCAATTCTCTGCCGCACTACTCTTATGGATTAATAATCGTTCTGGCTTCTCGATTCAACAAGCCACTACCGTCTTAAGTTGATTTTATTTATTGCTTTCTGATCTTTGGTCTTGTCATATGAGTTGTACAATTGTACTCGTATAATTACTAAAAATGACAGACTAGTTTTAAAAAAAAAGTCATGCTAAGTGTTAAGGCAAGAATCAAAATTAAAATATTTGCTAAATAAAAACAAGTTTTCATTCGTCAAGACGATTTTTTTTAACAAATGTTATTTATTAATAAATACAAAAAACTACAAAATAAATAAATAAATAAATAAATACTAGCTAGCTACATCTATAAATCGTTTTAAAAATATCTTTTCCAACCTTTGAGTACACCAATATTTTTAAAATTTTCAAAAACTTGTAAATGTTGTACGGTGATATCAATTTCCATATGATAGTAAATGAACAAGGATTTTCTCTCCCTCCATCGCTGCAAGAATTCACACAAGACCTTTACACTGATATTCCAACCTTCACCAAATTTTATCGTTGAAAGATTAGAACCAGCATAACTTGAAAGGGTGTTAAATATAAAGGTCAATATAGCATCACCATTATTATTTCCCGGAACGTCATCATTATGAATTAATAGGGTGATTTCTTTTAATCTTGGAGAGGATTTAATCAAATTTTCAAAATCATCTTTATACTCGTCTAAATACCATATGGTCACCACTTCAAGGCTTGGACCAAATCTTATTAAAGATTGATAATACGATTTAATACATTCGGGATTTGGCATCGTTGAATCCGTTTCGATATTGACCTGTCTTAACAATCCGTTAACACCTTGTCGTGTCTGTTGTTGTTGCGATTCAACTTGCGTTCGATCCTGCCCCAGTTCTTGCTCGATATCATTCTCACTCTCACTCTCACTCTCACTCTCATTCTCAATCTCATTCTCACTCTCATTCTCATGCACACTTTCGGATTCGTTCTCTTCGATGATAGTTTCGGTAACGGTTAAGGTCGTGAAAGAATCGGAAGTACCTTGGATCAATTTAACGAAGGTTTCAAATTCGGTTTCAACGTTAATCCCACAAACAATTAAACATTCGAGATTTGACCATTTAACATTCTCCAAGTAATTCAACCCTCTCACGGAGGTTTCATTGTGAAACCCAACCCTATGATTAGGAGGATAATTGCCCAATATGGATTTAAATTCAAATTTTTTAACGTTCGTTAATTGATTTAAAATATTTGAAAAGATATAAACGTTCTCTTTAAATATGATACTCTTTAAAGTATTTTTATGTTTCAAGAGACTTTTTCCTATAAATTTGTTAAATTCTTTCTTAAATTCTCTCAAATTCTGATTATTGATACCACCACCATCATTCCCTTCAAGATTTTGATGATTAAAATTTGGACAATAAAATTCGACCTCCTTCAACCCATTTTGCATTGAAATGAATTTTGATACGCTTTCATTAATACCGCTACCAACGCTCTCGATGACGCCATTCGAATAATTCAAACTCAACCTTTCCAAGTTTTGACAAGATGAACTTAAATCTTCAAACATCAAGGTGCCTAACTCCATGGGTGAACATTCTAAATGGATTAAGAAACCTAACCTTGTCAAGGCATTGGGATAAATGAAAATTGGGAATGAAGGATGTTCCATACGTTTTAACGTTACGCTATGCTTCAGGAAGATTTTCCATAATTCCTTTTCCAATAACGTTTCATGATATGTATATGAGAATTTCGGTGGTAAATCGTTCGTGTAAGGAGTAGGGTCAAATAAAAGATGAGTGATTAATTTATGAATTGATTCAACAGAAAGGTATTGAATGAATTCGATATAATTAAACATCAATTTATTGGATGAATCATTCAATTGATCCTTCAACAGGAGTGAATTAGTTTTTCGTAGGTATTCTAAATTCTCATTTGGTATACAATGAAATATAGTACGACTCAATGATTTCCATTGTACTTGATTAAACTTGAATGAAATACTGTCATGTAGTGGTTTTTCCCATAATATGGGCATCGCCGCTTGACACCATATTCTATTTACTAACAAACAGGAATAAAGTGATTTATTATCATCTGTTATCTTTTCAAAAATTTCTAATAAACAATCTAATGGAAGAAGAGGATACCCCATTGTATCTGAATTTTTTAATAAAAAAAATAAAAATAAAAAATATATAAAAAAAAAAAGAAAAAAAAAAAAAATAATCAATAAATAAATTAAAATAATGAGGAGAGGGAAAAGATTTTCCAAGAAAAATCGGGAGAATCTCCCATAAAATCATCGCAATCTTATGCTTACTGCACTTTTGACATCAATGACCCGAAAAAGTAAAGTGTGGTTACACGGTTACCTATATAAATTGCGGAATTGAAAATCTTTCCGTCATTATAAATTCAAGGTCTTGGATCCCAATGCCAAATTTGTAAAAATGGCGCCTTGGGTGGTTTATATTTTTTTATATTTCTTAAACGGTATAAATTAATCACGTGATAAAGCAACAAAATATTTTAGCTTTCAAAAGAGGGTCAAAATTCAAAGTTTCAAATCCCGCTCAATTTTTTTTTTTTTGCCATCACTAATAAAAGTTTAATTTTTTGGAAACAGCTCTGAAAGTCCCGGAAAATGCTTGTTTAAGGATTCCCTAAATTTGCACAAAGCGCAATATCCGGCTCCCTTTATAATAATAATAATATTATTATTATTATTTATTTTAGGGAATGAAAGAAAAAAGCTTTATTTCTTTAAAATAAAGAAAAAATGCTTACGATTATTCGATTGGAACTTCCGTTCATTGGAACTTTCACATGCATAATCCCATCTTCCAACACCTTATGAATCTTGTCGGTGTCCGCATTAGCGGGTAGCGAAATGGGACGAACAACAGATTGATAACGACGACCTTTGTGTTGTGGCAATGGAGGTGCAATTTCTCCGTCATTTTTAACTGATTTCATCTTTCCAAAGATTACCAGGATATTATCAAAGACTTGAAATTCGATATCAAAATCCTAAGCATCAAATCAAATTTAAAACATTCAAAAATTTTACATCAATGGCGAGAGTCGAATTCGTATACAGTATCTCGCATACACACATGTAAGTCGATTTGGATGTCGATTTCTTTTTCATTCTCAGACTTAATTATTCCGTTGGAGCATCGAGAAGCATCCTCGTCTATTTCAAATTCATCATCTTCACAATCATTTTCATTCAACAAAGGCTTTTTCTTTTTGAGTTGTTCTTCCATGTAAATAATTTTAAGAGGATAATTGGCTTTGTCGAATTGTAGGAAGCTAAGAAAAAAATAAATTAGAAAAAGAATTAATCATTAGGTCATTATTATATCATGTTTCAACTTCAGTCATATGATTTGCACATGACATGTTCCTTAACGTCCAAAAATATCCATATACTGTATATATATATTTGTATTCTGCTCCTCCAATAAAATATGTACATTCAATATTCTATGAATTACAAGCTAATTCATCTTATAATTATTTCGTTATGGTGTAAAAAACTATTAATTACACGAAAAATCATTCGACGTTCAAATAAAGTGTCAAAAATAAATTGCTCGAAAAAAAAAGAAAAAAATTCTGCAAACAATAAAGTTCAAGCAAACATGACTCTTTACATGCCAAAATTAGAATTTCGAAATCATTATAAAGATTTTTTACAAATAAAAAATATATAAAGGAGAAAATTCATTCCGACATCAATTTTTTTTATTCATAATCTGAGTTTCTCTCAATTATTTCAACAAAAGAAAATATATAAATATTTATTTGTCATAACGCAGAGAAAAAGCGTTATTTAAGGATAAAAAAAAAAGAAAAAAAAAAATGATTAAAATTACAACCCTCGCACTTTTCGTTATTCTTCCCTTATTAATTTACAATACAATTCCTTCATTCACTGAATTGAACTATGATTTTGATCAAATAATATTGGGACCAAGACCTGGAGGCATTGAAATAACCGACTTCAATAAATGGGTTGACCCTTTACCTTCTCTGTTGGTTATGCTCGATGAAAGAAGCTGGGCTAATTAAAAAGATTTTCAGAGTGTTACCTAGTTAGACTAGGTAAGGGTACACTACATATTCAGATTAAAAATAAATTTCTGTTGTTATCACAAAGTTTAAAGTATTTGTATTAATATTAAAGAATTATTCTATTCTTCTAAAAGGTTACATGATACGTACAAGACATACATTTGCGGAAAAAAGCGAAAAAAAAAATAAAAAAAAAAAAAAGGTCTCCCAGTAACATAATCTAATTAATTACCTTATTAGTGTGATCTTTGTAACCCAAGATTTTGACCCCTAAAATCTTAGATAATAAAAAATTTTACTTTTGCTGTTTCAAAAAAGACTATGAATTAAATGCATGTAGCATGCAATTTTATCATTGTGATTTATTTATTTATGATAAGGATCCAGACAAAAAAAAAAAATATTGAACAACCTTCGGGCGAAAATTGATTAATGAAAATTAATTTTTTTTTTTGTAATGTAATTTTCTCGGCATATAATTCATGAGTGAGATCGACATTATCTCGAAGGCCAAAAGAGTCTTTTGCTTCAATAAGACGCATTTAATATTATGAACCCACGATATACAGAATTGAAAACTTTTTCATTATATTCCGGTTTTAATTTAATAATCAATTAGCAACTTAAGAGCATTCATTTATACTAATTTAAATATTTGAATTTTACAAATTATCTTTCTTTAATATTAATAATTATAAAGCATGCAAGCTATTTAATGAATTTCAATTCAATTATTGCCTAATCTCTCAAATTCAAAATCTAAAAGCCAATAATTGTTGCATGAGAAGAGCACTAGATCTCGTATACCATATGTATGCGTGTACCGCACCATTCAAAGTATACAAGTTGCTAAAAAAAACCAGGATGTTCGGGGGCCAAGTTTCTTACTCATTTTGTTAATTTGTTGAAATGATATATCACTTCCGCTATCAATAATCATTTTAAATCAATGCAGAGTATCGACAATTTCCTAGCCCTTTCATTGTATTTTAGGGTGGATTTTATGTAGGCGGAGGCACATATAATTTTAAATTGTCGTAGAAATTGTAAATAGTGTTATGAGAAAGAGTCATATTTGTTCTCTTAGAAGATTAAAAATTATTCAAAATTGGATCATAGAAAGCTTGAATAATAATAATTATGTTATTTAATTATAGTTTTCGTGATTTCTCAGCCTTCTGTAATTCATTTTTAATTATTTTATTTTGTAAAATAGATATAATGTTTGTTTTAAATTGCAAAAGATTCTTATTTGTTTTAAGTTGTGATTAAAATAATTAAATTTTTTTTTCTTCCTGATTGATTTCTCTGAAAATTTTAAAATTTTTTTGTTGATCATCACGTGAAATTGGACCAATAAACAAGATTTGACGATGTTGATAACGATCGCGAAGCCAAACATCAAAGCCAAATGCCATTGCCAATACCTAAACGAATGGTGACACAAAAAATTGGAAAGTACAATTTTTTTATAATTTATGCATTTCAAATTAAATTTCAATTGTCTAATCTTTTATAATGATGGCTATTTTTCACATGAGAGTCGAGACTTGACTATCTTATAATTTGTATCGGCATACCTTTTAATTCCCAAAATTGAATTGAGGTTCCTTTCTTTACTATAAAGATTGATGTAACACACATTCTTGGTAAAGATAAGGTTACACATTAAATGTTGTGTTACAATTTTTAATGAAATGGATGAATGAAATTTCCTCGTTTCTCTTTCACATTTGTTTCTTTCTTTTTTTTTATTAAAAAAAAAAAAAAAATTTAATTAAAATAAATTCGACCATTTATAAAACCTTTACAATCAATCAATATCAAGATTCTTATCGAATGAAATAAAAGAAAAATTTTTCATCGATAGTTTTTTTTTTTTTTCTCATAAGTAAATATATAAAGAAAATGTCTGATCCAATCGATCGTTTAACTGATTCGGTGACTAATGGCCTCGCAATTGCAGCGTTATTTTCAAAAGAAGCAGCGGTAATAGCCGACTCTTTGGGACCATTCATTCCATTAATATCGGAAATAACGCATATAGTATCAGATATTATCGACCTTTATCAGAAGGCTGAACATAATAAGAGGATTTGTGGTTCATTATTATCAAGAGCAACAGCAGCGGAAACTGCTGTCAACATGTTAAAAATTCGTAGACTTGAAAACGAAGATGTATTTAAATCAAGGGAATATTACAACAATTTTCAAAAGTTGGTGGTGGTGATTGGTAAAATTAAAGAATTCATTGAAGAGGTATCACAAATTAAAGGGTTAAGAAGATTTTTGGCTGCTTATTCTATCGAAGAGAAATTTACGAATTTAACCGATGAATTTGATGGATTAATGCGCGTGTTAAATTTTACTATGGCTGTACAAAATCAAATTCAAATGGAGGAAGATCATAAAGTATTAATATCGGATGTGAAGGAAATGAATAAAGTAGGTGCAATGTGTATCTTTGTTTCTCTCTCTCTCTCTATTTTTTTTTTTTTTTTTTTTTTTAAAAAAAAAACTTTTTTTTTTTTTGCATTTAGTATTTGAAGACAATTGAGGGTGGTATTGTCAATGATTTGAAAGAGATTAATGCTTCGTTAGATGATATCACTCAACTTAATATTGCATGGCAAAAAAGAGTTTTACAAGAGGATAATAATGTTTTAGAATCCGCAACGATTAAAATGACGGAAATTCATGATCCTCACGAGACAGTAAAACGAGGAACAAAGGTTTATAAAAAAATTCGAATGGGCGAGGATATAGCAATTAAAGAAAAAATTTTAGGAGATGATGAAAAGAAACTTATGAATGATATACTTAGTCAAGTAGTTATCTTGAAAAAACTAAAAGAATCTCAATATATACTTCAATTTTACGGTATCGCACAAGATGCAAACGCAATTTATATGGTAACTGAATGGTGCGATTACGGTAACCTGCAAGAATTTTATCAGGATTATGGGCCTCTTGATTGGCATGAAAAAACTCAACTAGCTGTGGATATCGCTCGTGGTTTAACCTTCTTACATACAGTTGCCATCTTACATCACGATATTCGCTCAGAAAATATCCTCATCACTATTCATCGTCAGGCGAAACTTGCCAACTTTACATTAAGTCGTGGATTTAATGATCCCACTAAAAATATGATGCCTACGATTGATACAGTTAGATGGATGGCACCGGAAAAGTTGAAAGATCATAGAAATCTTTATACGGCTAAATGTGAAATTTACAGGTACAATTTATTGGAAATTTTTTTTTTTTTTTAGCATCATTAGATGAACTAAAATTTACTTCTTTTGCTAAAGTTTCGGTATGTTACTGTGGGAAATTGCGGAGGAAAAAATACCCTTTAGTAATGAAAGGGATATATTAAAAATTAGAAATCTTATCGTACAAGAAAATATTCGTCCGTCATTTAGTAATACGATTCCACCTGAGTGGGTTAAAGTTACTTATCAAGGTACCAATAATTTATTTACTTGTTAGACTATTTCATTTTTTTAACAAAATTTTCAAATTACTTAGCATTACAGGATAGTCCAAACGCACGTCCTCCGCTCAGAGATATGTTTATGACGCTTAATCATCTTTGTAGCAAATTTGCACCTCCACCATCTTCACGACCTAATTCATCACGATATCCGACAGATGATGATTTACCGAGTGATGATGAGCTTGACCTTGCTATTGAAGATCTTTCTATTAGCGTTTTAACTGTTAGAGAAGCTATATTAGAACATAAAAAGAAAGATGGCGATAAAGTAAAGTCCTGGGAAAGTTTTAAATATCATGCTGAAGAATTTAACGATATTACAGCGAGGTAATTTATATATACATGTATATATTGCTGATATCTTATCTGATATATTACCTATTATTTCTTTTGAAACAGGTATTGGAAAGGGTACTATTTATATTACGGACTTTGCCCAATTGATGATCCATCGGACGCAGAAGCAAAAAGGGCAAGATTAGAAGAAGCAGCCAATCTATTTAAGGAAGCCGCAGACTATGGATTATCAGATGCCCAACTGAGATACGGTCATTGTTTATGGTCTGGCGACGGTGTAAGGAAAAGTATATCACAAGCGATCGAATATTTTCAATTATCTGCAGATGGTGGTAATCCCACTGCCATGTATAATATTGGTAATTTATATTATAATGGTCTTGGTGTACAAAAAGATGAAGAAAAAGGAATAAGATATTTAAGATTAGCTGCTTTAAGAGAACAGCCCAAAGCATTTGAGATGTGTAAACGGAAATGTATTTCTTTAGTTTAATAAGTTATTAACGATGACGCTTTATTTATTTGTTTAGATTCATGTTTTACATTTAATATTAATTATATATTATTGTAAATAAGTTATTTTACCTATATAAATGATGTATTATTATATATATATTGTGTTTATTTTATCATATTAAATTTAATAATATCCAATATTAATCATTATAACAATGTTAAATACTTATCCTGTCCTGCTAATTGCCCTAGGCGATAATGTGAAGGATTGATTTTGTCTCCACCTTTGAAAAATATAGCCAGTAATTTTGTAATATCAGGATTAATGGTTAATTATCCCGACACTTTTCATTATTTTATCAAAAGTCTCTTCTAGAGGAAATCCGCTCGTGTCATACTAGTAATCCATAATTATCGCTTAAGCGTTCTCTTAAAGAATTAACTATGACTGAGTAGTCATATAAAACTTTTAAAAGATCGAACTCTGCCTTTGTAAGAAATTTTAATTAATAGATTTAACTTTATTCCCTTTTGGCATTTCCAAGCTTTATTAAATTCAATTCCACATGCAATTTGATTGGACATTCAAGAACAACATGATATTAAATTTGAAGCAGTCGCTAAAGCTGTTATGAAGCACCGAAATTTTCTTTAAACCAATTAGTGTGTTGTACTGAAATTTACCACCTCGTCTGACATCGATTAATCTCTGATTGGATGAGCGATAAATCAATTACAAGTTTCCTTTATTAGTAAATAAAATTATTATTTTATAATTTTAACAAACTATAATACATAATTAAAGTAAGTCTTGTAATTCGTACAAGACCAAGCTTCCGTTTCAAATAAACCAATTAACTATTCATCCAAGTCTAAAGAACAAGAAATAGACAATATATAAAACCGACCATGTGTAATGATTTTATTACCAAAACGATTTAGTAGTTAAGACAAAGGACGACTAATATAAATGATTTGACTAATGCTATCTTCATTTGCATCATTATTATTTTCGGTATGATATTTTGAATTTTCAAATTGATCCAAAATATAATGTGGAGGATTTTGTCTCCATCTTTGAAAAATTACTTGTAATTTTTTAATATCAGGACGCTTGAATGGAACTTGATCCCAACAACTTTTCATTACTTTTTCATAAGCCGGTGGGATTTCTCGAGTAATTTCAGGTCGTAATCCTTGACTAATTTCTATCGCTAGAGATATGTCATGTCCCCTATCATAGTATGGAGCGAATCCGGTTCCAAGTTCAAACATTATCATACCTAAACTATAAATATCTGAAGATTGAGTATATGTTTCTCCTTTTAAAACTTCAGAAGCAACATATGGCAAGACCCCAGATACGTTTTTTGATTCGATTGGTACCTTTTTACATAATCCAAAATCAATAAGATATGCCAAATTTCCATTTATTAATATATTCCCAGAATGTACATCACAATGAGCCATTCCTAATTTATGAATTATAGCAAGATCATTAACAATATAATCCAAGAAATTGGTTTTTTCTTGCCATGAAATTTTATTTTTTTTCAAATAATCTCTTAAATTGCCATCAGCCGCATTTGGAGTTACAATACCATATTCTTTTGTATCCGTCTTCTGAGTAACGCCGTACAATCTAAGGAATCTTCTACCACTTGTCATAAATTGATGTTGAAATTTTAGCTTTTTATTGAAACAGAAAAATGAATGATTCAAATATTAAATTCAAATGAAAATATCAATAATTATCTTAAAACTAGTATTAATTTTGTATATTTACCTCATTTATAAAAGTTTCAGAATCAAAACCGTTTACAACTTTTATTACAACTGGAATGGGATTACTGCGTTGCCTTTTGGTATTATTAGTATCTTCATCCCAAAAATTATCCATTCTCTCTCCATCCTTCCAATTTGCAATATAGACTCTTCCGAATCCACCTTCTCCAAGAAATTTGACATTCTCGAACCTTTCATAAGGGATCCATTCTAAATATGAAGCATAGGAGGTGGCATTTCTTTGAGTATCTTGAATAAATTTATCAATGTCATTATTTCCGCTAGTCCAATTCGAAAATTCATCAATCAATTGCTGACAATCACATCTAGGACACCAGTCATAAAAGCTTTTTGGTTTTAAACAACGAATACATAATCCATATTTTTCCATATCCTTAAAAGTTATAGGAAACAATAATAGCTTTGGGGCTTTAAAAAATTTAAATTTTTTTTTTTTCAAAATTTCGCAACACACGTGATCTGTCACCCCGTGTCACACCCTCCGTTTTTTCCATTAATTTCAGTAATGCCGGCCAAAAAATCACATGGGGTGAAAAAAGTGTTGGCGTATCGCATAAATCACAAAATTTTGTGATAAATGCAAATTTTTGGCAACATGAAGAGAACTCGCGCCAGTGTGTCAAAACAAAAAAAAAAATTAGGTTTTTCTTTGGTTCGATAATTCGTACGGTAAAAACACAAAATGTCATAAATAGACTACAAAATCACACAAAATGGTGTAAATAGCACTATCTTTTTTCTCATTGTGATCATTCGCATTATGCTTAATTCTAGTATATTATTAATTCAACAAGCTCTGATGGTTCGATCGTATATTAAGACTATAAAAGGTAATTACCATTATTAAAGAGTTTTTTTTAAAATTTATTAGTGCTATAATGTTGTTCTCCGACTCTTTTTATTTAATTTTATTACCTTAGTAAGATTTCATTGCGAATATAAAAATTATGATATTCATAAATTCTTAAAGAGTTGTTAATAAGACCCACATTTAAATCATGGTAAATTTTCAGAAAGCGATATTTAGGAAGCGATATTTACAGAGATATCTCTTTTCGTCAATGGAAATGCACGTTTTATTTATACATTTATAGCGACGAAGCTCCATATGTCAGTTCCAGTAAAGTGTATTGCCGTTTAAAATAGTAGTAGTAGCAATTTCAGTTCTCATAGTCATATATAAAAAGCGTTTGGTCACAAGGCATGATGTTAAACATACACATACATACCAGTTGCTAGAAATTATGAAAGTAACTCTTCCCAAGTACATGTTCTAGCATCACGAAACATAATTGTTTGCGAAATGTTATATTAAAATGGTTAAACGATGAATTCAATAGATAATATTGATATTTAGTAAATGTATTACAGAAGATGAAATCTATAAAGAAATAATTAAGCCAAAAGTGATAAAGCAGTAAGTGGTGAAGCTCGAAGCGACGAAGATTATATGAATATTGATTTAGAAGAATATATTCACAGCAATAAAATGAATGTGTCAATGAGGAGTCTATTGCCATCATAAGTATTTTTTACTTTTTGTTCGTGTCAATTTATCGATGCTCTAGATATGAAACATTTTCGCGAATTCCGATTCAACTAGAGTTACTCTTCCTTATCAAATTTTAACCCGTCTAGATTTGACAATTCAAGAAATTTTTTTTTTTTTGCATTGATTAGCAAAAATTGTATTGCATATAAAATATTAGTTTAGAATTAATTCATAGGTTTCTTAGCATTCATTGTTTGTCTGCTTGATTCCACCTTGCTGAATGCTTAAATATTCTAAACAAAAGAAATATTTGAAAAAGTGTTTTAAACTTTCTTTCAAAGAGTGGCTGAATGTGATGAAAAACAGAACTAGTAACTTTTATTTAGAGATCATTTTTTAAACGCTGATCGATAATATTTTAATGCGTCCATAAAAAGTCTAAAATTTAACAAAAAATTTTTTTTTTTTGGATCATCTCTGAATTATGTTTTCTACATTCAAACTAGGACCAAATATTTTTTGGGGGTCCCTTTTAAAAAGAAGTTTTGGTAATTCTTTAACAGGTGATTATAATTTTAATAATATACATTCACCTAGCTTGAACATATAACATTTCTTTTTTTTTTTAGTCTTCAATTCCAATCCATCAAATAAATCAAATGATCTTTTGAAACAACCATTAATGATATACCTTCATTGGCCATATTGTAAAAGGTAACTTGCTCTTAATTTTAATCTTTCACATTTATATTCTTATATATATTTTTAACTTTTTACTTGCTCTATTAGTAAATGTACTTACTGTAACTTTAATAAATACATAAATCCGAGACCTGACCATGAACGAATGAAAAAAACCTTAATTTCCGAGATAAATCATTATGTACAAAAATATGATATGAAAGGAAGGATTATTCATAGTGTTTATTTTGGAGGTAATAATTTGTATTCTTTTTTAATGTGTTACCTTTTAATTTACTGTGCAAGATTCGATAATTATTTTAGGAGGTACACCAAGTAAGGTTCTTTTTTTTATTTGCAGTATTTTTTTTTTTTAAAAAAAAAAGGACAAATGTAAAGCTCATTCATTCTATATCGGTAATTTTAGGTCTGGCGTTGGTAAGATGTGTTAAGATATTAATTTTTCTTTTTTTAATTATTTTTCACTTACAAATTTTATTCAATTATTTATAGCCATCTACTTTTAAAGCCGTTTTAAATACAATTGCTAAAGAATTCACATTGCCTTCCAATGTTGAAATAACAATGGAGGTATCGAATATCAAATATTTTACTATTATGCAATTTCTATTTACATTTAATAATCACGTCCTAAAATTCACGCAAAGGGAAATCCAACGGTACAATCGATTCCGAATTACTTTAGTATATAGACCGAAGCTTTCTTATGATTTAATCTTATCTTAACCTTTGTTTTATAGTCAACGGAAACAAAAAAGTTACAAGAATTTCATGCAATAGGAATAAACAGATTGTCACTTGGATTACAATCTCTTAATGATTCGGAATTAAAGAGGTTAGGTAGAGATCATACGTCAAGAGAAGCTATTGACGCATTAAAAGAATCACAAAAAATTTTTGGAGAAAATGTTACTTTTGATTTAATATTTGGCAGAGAAGGACAAACTGTTGAAGATTGGAAAGCTGAATTAATGGTAATTAATTAATTTCCTTGGTTAAATCTTTCAACTTTGAATTTATTTATTTATTTTTTTTTTAAGACCGCTTTGGAAATAGCATCAAATCATATTTCTTTATATGAACTTACAATCAAGAAAGGAACACCGTAAGTTGTTATTCGCTTGGCATAATACTTAAGTATTTTAATTCTTTTTAATTTATTTTATAGGTTATATAAAGATTTTATTAAAGGAAAATTTAAGAAACCGTCACCTGATCATATGGCAAATTTATATGATACTACACTTGAAATTACAAAACGATATGGATTTCAACAATATGAAGTATCAAATTTTCAAAGAAATGAGAAATATAGCAGGCATAATTATGGTTATTGGAGCGGTTTAGATTATTTAGGTGAGACGAATTGCTTTTCATGAATGTATTATGCATTATTTTGTTAAAATTTACTTGTATATATACATAATAGGAATCGGCCCTGGAGCTCATGGAAGACTAACAGATTCAGAAACCGGAATGAGGTTTAGAACAATAAGAGTTTGTTAGATATTTTAGATATGTAATTTTGATTCTTTGGTTATGTGGGATTTTTTATCTCATATGTTTTGTGGTTTTAGAGATTGTATCCAGAAGAATGGATGTCACAGTGTGAAGAAACTGGAGAAGGGCAAGTGAATTATTGATATTGTTTTTGTTATCACTTTTAATTACTTAGTTGCTTGTCAATAAAAAAAAATCATTTCATTTGTATTAGTATTGCAAAGTATGAACAAATGAACTTGGAAGATGTTAAGAAGGTAAGTAGTAAAATAAGTAATCATAATAAATAAAGTCTTATACCTTCTTTAATGGCGTTGATTTATATTAGGAACTTGTGTTATTTGGTTTACGCACCAAAATTGGAATACCAAGAGCTAGATTTAGGAAATATTCATCAAATCAAGAATTAGAAAAGGTAACATTATAAATTTGATTCATCCTGATAAATTGAACAATATAAACTTGATTTTAAAGTTTTTTTTTTAAAAATAAATAAATAAATAATAGTATTTAAATATGGAACAAATAAATTCATTTATTAAAGACGGTTTCTTAATTTGGGAGAATAGGACCGTTAGATATGATAATAATGAATGGATGTTAAATGATTTTAGAGAAGAAGTGCAGGATGGTGGGTTGAGACCTACCGACAAGGGGTTGGCTGTAATTGATGAAATAGTTCCAAGGATAATTTACTAAACTTAAAATTTAGATATTTTAATAATAAGTATTGATCTTTCTGCTCATTATATAAAGTAAAAAGTAAAAGAAGGAATTTTAGTTTGAGGGACGCCTAATACATAATTAACCTTAATGGCGATTTATGCCCAAAGATAACGAAGTAATCCCATTTCAATCGCAATTAAAACTGTGATACTTCTGGAGGTTTTATAAATAAGGTAATATACAAAATCTCTAAGATAATAATGAATAATATTTACATAACTTCCAAGTCTGGAGATAAAAATCAGACGCCGAGATACGAATACCTTATAAATTAATTAATGACGTGAATATTTCTTCCATTATGTTCTCCATTAGCTTTACAGATAACATTTAGAGTTTCCTCTCTAGCACAAATAGAGTAAATCAAGATTAGTAGCCTCTGTGTGCATGCGATATTTTTAATAGAAAAATAAAATTTTTTGTTTACATTTTCGCAAATAAGAATAACATTATTTATACATGTAGTTTTATTTTTGCAATTGCAATAGAAGTTTAGGGCATAAAATGAGTTGGTGCTGCAAAAGAAAATATTTGGTATATTAACTATTTAGTTTACTTTTTCCGAAATGGCTCATGTTCCCACAAATTTCCCGACACCCGGAATCCCGACAGTCCAGAATCCGACTCCGAAATCCCGACATACTAAAATCCCGATAGTCCATAATCCTGATGGTCTTTTAAGACATAATCCCGACTGTTCAAAATCCCGACCTATATTTTTTAAATCAAGACCGTGGCGCAGTACCGATACATTTTTAAATGCAATTATTGAAATATATTAAACTGATTAGGTTTAGTATTAGGATTAGGTCAGGATTAGGATCAATATTAGGGTTAGTATTAGGTTTTATTTTTTTATTGTGTTGAATTAGGGTTAAAATGGGGTTAGGGTTAGGTTTCGGGATTTTGACAGTCGGGATTATGTCCATTCGGGATTATGGACTATCGGGATTTTAGTATGTCGTGATTTTGAAGTCGGGATTCTGTGTGTCGGGATATCGTCGTAAACCCGTTCTATTAACCAATAATAGGTTTTCTTTACACGTTTCTAAGTTTTTGAATATTAATGTAACTGTTCAGGAATTGGTGATTCATTTTACAAGTTTACAAGACTCATGATATATTATTATTCTACAAACAATATCAACTCCTAAAATTTCAACACAGAGAAAGATTTCACTCGCCCTAATTTATGGGTTGAAGTTGACTTCAATTTCACTGTTAGCTAAAGAAGTTGAAACTTTTATTGTCTTAAACATCACCAATGTCATTTTCATCATTATCATCAGTAGTACAGATATTGTATCTGGGATGAACCGTCCCATTGGACAATTATGGATTTCAGATGTGCATGCAGTCTGATTCAAGTGCATCCAATCCATCAATAAATACATATTCATTTAAATCTTCTTTCGAACCTGCTCAAATTATTAAAAAAATAATTGATCAAGATAGCCAGTCAAGTTACCATCATTAGATAATGATCATAAGTATATAACTATCATTTAAAAATATCAATCTTTATTTTGATGATGAAATTTATTAGATTAATCATTTCGAGGTTTCGATCATTTCGAATATTGATCGCATCGTATCATTGATACTAAAGTTACAAAAATAAATAAAATTTTGATGCTTGTCGTTCGACGACAGCAGGATTTGAACCTGCGCTCCACAAGGGAATCAGATTTCAAGTCTGACGCCTTAACCACTCGGCCATGTCGTCTGTATAAGTTAACTAGCGGTTTCCTTTTGAAAAAGGATCAAAAATCTGAACGATGGAATCATGATCCAATAGATGGATTTCAACATTCCTTGAATCAGTTATTTCATTAACTTTGTTTGACGTTCTAAGAAACAAATGAACTTTATTACATCTAACAAAAGATTTGATCATTATATCAGTGAATCCTAATCAAACAACCCTGCTAAGCAAACACGTTTACAAAACTTATAGTTGCTTAATTAAATTAATTATAAATAGTTACAAGTTTTGCGATGTTAACGTCAATATTATGAACTTAAGATGTTACATGAAATACTTAAATCATCAGATGATTATTTTAATTACATTTTACAATTAATTCCTTATAATATCTAACCCAAATAATATGCACATTCTAAACAATTTTTCTTAAATATACCTAGAATATTTTTAAAAATTATTAGGGATGAATAAATAAATCAAATTCACAAAAAGGATAATCATCTACTGTAAATACCTCATGTTGCACGAATAATATTCAAGCCTTCTCTCATAATCAAATTTTGTAAAAGAGGGATTAATTAACCCATTCAAGAAATATTCTTGCGCGATCTTTGAATGCTCATGAGTTATAAAAGAATTTAAATCGATCATCAATGGAACGTTCAGCCTCCTTGACGCATTCTTAAAGAACGATTCAAGCGGTTCGGCGGGATAATCAACGGGTACACAACAATGTTTTAACACCCTTAAGTTTGGTGGCAAATGATCTCCTAACAAAGGTAAATAAGAATCTTCGTCAAATATTCCATTATTGAGGATTCCAAAATATTCTAATTTATCACAATATTTAAAAATTCTTAATAAATCATTAATGGATTCTCTATATTCATTAACCCAATACATTTTCAAGATGATAAGATTTGGACAATGATTTGCGATGCTTAACGTTAAAGTTGCAAAATTGCTAACATCTTGATGACCCCAATGTAAATCAAGTTTTCGTAAATTCGTTGTTTTTGAAATGATTATCGATAAAAGGTAAAAATATGAGAAACATGATGGTCCGATGTCAACGTAAAGGTATTGTAATTTTGGAAAGTTCATGTCTGCTAAAGTCCTAAAAGAATTATAACTTTGATTATAACTTTGATCTTTATTGACAACTTCCAAACTAACAAGGTTCTCAAAGGAATCAACATTTTTAATCGGTAACGCGTCTCTTCCATTAATTGTAAGCCATTCAAGATTTTTAAAAGCTCTTTCAAAGATATCTTTTATTCCAGGATAATAATTGTAAAAATGTCCCTGAAGGATTAAATATTTTAAACAATTTTGTGAGGAAAGGATTGATAATCTAAATCCGGGAGTAAAGATCAAATTTTTTATTTCCTTACAGAAAAACGAAATCTTTTGAATAAATTCTGTAGGTGTATTACAATTTGTTCCCAAGCATTCTAGATTAGCTAAACATTTTGATGCGCCAGGTAAATCCGGTAATTGATTGATGATTGGATTGATGACATTGTTAATCAAACAAAATTTTAAACAATTTTCATTACATTTTTCCGCACATTCCAATTCCTTTGAGAATTTCTTATTTATCAAATATAATTTCTTGACATCTTCACATCGACTCATGAAAAGTTTACACAATTCAAAGAAAATTAACCTGATTTGATACAAAAGTAAACTACGCTCAACTGAAGTTACAAGTTTAAATTTAAATCTCACGCTTAACCATGCGCGACATCCCAAGAATAAACAAATGATGTCCAAATTTTTCAAGAAAGCGGGATAATCATAACTCGGATGTTTTGTTTTATAAAATCCTACAATTCCAGCATTCGTTAATTTGACTTTGGATCCTTCTGACAAACAATTAATATAAGTGTCAGTTAGAGAGGATAAATTTTTGATGGATTTCGATACATAAACCTCTTTATGATAATTTCCTCCTGGTGAAGGAAAAGTTTCTTCATATATGTTTTCAAATGGCTCTACCCATAACATTGGAATCGCAATCTGACACCAGTATCGATTGACAAGTGCACAAGAACGTAAGCTATAAATATCTAAATCTTTGAAAATTTGTATTAGAGTTTCCGTTGCAAGAACAGGCGTATGTTGGAACATGGTTTTATTCCGGATTTGCCACATTGTGACTTGTTCGGATGATTAAGAAATGGGTTTTTGAAAGGGAGAAATTTTTAATAATTTGATCCGAGCAATGACATATAAATGTATGGCAGAGTCACACAAACTAATTGTCGATCCGTACCAAATAATGTTTGATTCACGACATAGTAATTTCTTTAACAAAATGATCGGCGTAAACACCATTGTTACATCAAAAAGATTTAAAGTAATTTTTATTTTATTCAGCAGATTCCTCCCTTTTTATTTTAAAATGCGCATATTGAGGATTTTCACACCATCTATTAAAATATAAAGTATCAATACGATCATTAAATCTTTATTCAAACAACTATCAATTAATTTTTGAAAAGTTTCGGAACTTTTGAAATTCCAGAAATTAATCATAAATCTACCAAACTTTCTAATATCTTTTGATTTGTTTATTATATATTCATATTCATTTAATTCTTTTTTTGAACTTGCCCAATATAATTGACCGAAATAAGCCCAATTATCATGTATAAAAGACATTACCAATATGTAAATCGTTATGGTCTGTAAATATAACGAAGAATATTTTATTTCATGTTTCTTATTCAAGCCCTCTATCACTTGCATATTGCATTACAATGATAAAATCATTACTTTTTGAACCTTTTGTTACTCCATAATTTCTAATAAAATGCTTTATTATCACTCATATATTTACGATAGCGCGTTAACTGATATTAAAAAGAAAAACCAAAGAACCATTTAATATTTAATCTAATTCAATTTAGGAATCTTTAAATTTACTTACTATATTCATTGTTGTCTCAAATCCATCTTTATGTGGCGTTTTAAAAGCAACTGGAATTGGTTGGCTTCGTTTATGTTGTTTGTTTTCTTCACCATCCCTATTCTTTCTCCTTCTTTCCAAACTGCCGAATAAACTGTACTTAAACATTCAGATCCAATTTGTTTTATATTTTACATTGGTAAGGTATCCATTCTAAATAAGACACATAAGATTTTGCCGTAGATTGTGTGTATCGAATAAATTCGTCTAATTCATTGTTTTCATTGTCCAATTTTCAAAATTTTTAATAAGTTGCGCACAATCACAACGTGTACACCAGTTAAAATCACTATTAGTATCATCACATTTGTTACAAACACCTTTTGCTCATTTTTTGAAACCATTATTCTTATTACCATTCCAGAAAAAAAAGGAATTTTTAAATGATTTGTGTAACAAATCAGGTTATTACGTTTTTTATTACAAGCATATTGTTTGTTTGCCCAAATTATTACATAGTTACACCAGCCTTTATATGTTTGCAAAAATTCGGATATAAGCAATCAAAATGTCAAAAAATCGAATCGTGCTTTTGAAAATTTATTTCAAGAATGGTTTAATGAAATTCTTTCTTGTTAGTCCGGAACGAAGTGAATGACTATATATGTACAGGTATAAGGTTATACGAGGTATCCCGTTGTCGCAAAAATTACCTTCTTGACCCTCCTCGTGTTACTTTCTTGACCCGATCTATATATGCATGATTATGTATGAAAAAATATTATTTTCTTGACCGGAAATGTGATAAAGAATTATGTGAAAATCTAGTGATAATTAATAAAAAATGCGTCTGTATTATATGACGCGACTTTTTGCAATAAATACGTATTTTCTTATTCGTTTTTTACATGTATTTTTTTACATATATATTCTTTAATATTTTTTTATAATTTAATTATGCTTAATAATTTTATTATTTTATTTTATTTTATTTTTAATTTTATTAAAAAAGTTGAACCTCTATATAATCATCTCCTATATAAACACATCTTTTTTTATAATCATAGATTTTGCAAAATAGATTTTAATAATAATAAATTGCCTCTATATTTACTATAATTATTATCATTGTATAATTCTTAATATACATATCATGTTTTTTTATTAATAATTTAATAATCAAAACCATATTATAATTTTAATAATTTTAATTAAAATATAATTTTAATCAGAATTACTATTTATATAATATATGGATTAATTGCTAAGAAAATCAGATTTCAGAAATTTTTTAACAAAATTAAGATTTTTATTGCATTTTAATTTTTGATATTATTAAATAAAATGCAAAAAATTCTTAATTTTAGTCAAAAAATTTCCCAAAACCTGATTTTCTTAGAAATTATTTAATATGATTATTATATAAATTATCTTTTATAAAAATTTATATTATACATATTTTATAAAAGAAAATTTTCAATTCAATTTTTTTGTAAGGCTATCATTTAAAAAGAAAATAATTATAATTTTATGTGATTTTATAAATTAACATGTAAAATTATAGATTGTATCATGTATAATTTAGAAGTTAGATGATTGGTAGATTTTTTATTTTAAAAAAAATGACATTTTTTTATATAAATAATTTCATTTTTTATTATTTAACACCTAAACTCCTTAAATATATAGAATTTATTTTTAATATATTAATTATTTAGGAATTATTACATATTTTTTATAGAATTTTAGATAGATTACACAATTAATTAGAAAACTTTAATAATACTATATTCTTCCTTTTAATTTTTGAATAATGTTTGTATTTATTAACTTTTTGTCAAATTTACTATAAGTTATCTTTTTTAAAATATTCACAAATATAAGCCAAAAAGTCACTTTTATATAAATTATATATAAAATTAATATTAGATTTTTGCTGAAAGAAAATTAGTTTATCAAATCGTAAATCTAAAAATCACTATAATATGAACATTTTAGCAAATATTATAACTTTTGTTTATTATTAAAATCTTTATTTAAATAATATTTTTAAATATAATAAACATTATAATTTTATTATAATAGATATAAAGTAGCTATATTTTTGAAATTTCATTTCAATCATTATTAAAATTATATAAAAAAAACTATTTTGTTTAATTTATTAAAAAATATTAGTACTTTACATGTAAAATTCATTGATCATCTAATTTTTTATTTATATGTTATATAAGCTTATAATTTTATGCGTGATCAATATTAGTATTGTACTTGAATTTTAAAAATTTTTAATGGATGTTATTAATTAACTTTAAAGGTCAGATACTTATGACTGCTACTATAAGTGATAAATATATGTAATTTTATCAAATAATAAGCAGAATATTAATTTTATAATTAGTTTAGAGATAATATCAATGATAGACAATTTATTTAATAATATAAACAAATGAGTATTATTTCAATTAATGCTTTATATTATACAAATATCTTAAGAAAATTAAAATAAATTATTTAAAAAATAATTATTAAAATACTACTCTATTAGCTAAAGATTATGTTTATATTTATATAAAATTGAATATATATAATTATTGAAGAAATAAAAAAATAAATATAATAAATATAACAAATAATATATATATATTAAATAAAAATAAAAATAATTAAGATAATATATCATATAGAAAAATAAATATCATATATGATATAAAAGTTATAAAAAATTTAATAACTTCTAAATAATTATTATCATTTTTATAATATTAATTATTAAATTCTTTTTTATATAATAATTAAATTATATTTGTAAAATAAAAGTATATTCAAAGATAATGAAATTTATAATATATAAATATTTTATTTTTCATCATTTATAATAATATAAAAAATTGAAAAAATGGTTTAGTAAATTATGCAAAAGGTAATAGTATTTAAATAAGATTATTAATAATTTTTTAAAATCTCTTAGCTAATTTATCTAAAGAGATATTTGAAATTTAATTAAAAAAATTATTAAAAAGGTCTTGAAATATTAAACATAACTATTTTAAAATATTTAATTATTTATAATATAAAAAAGTTTTTTTAAAAGTAATATAATACTTACTATTATTTATAAATAAAAATAAAAAAATAAATAAAATAAACATAAAAATTTTTAATAATAATTAAAATAAAATCTTATTTCTGATAAAATAATTTAAACTCTTTTAAAATTATTTAAACATAATAAAAATATATATAACACATAATATAAATTCTAACATTTTTAATGATAATTTTAAAAAAAAACTTTATAATAAAATTTTTTACTTTATTTAACGCTTTATCAAATTTCATCTAAAATAACTATATTATTAGTATTGTTACTAGTTTATTTTCAGTTATCTTAATGTTTAAGTCAAAAGGTTGTAATAATTAATTCTATATATTGAAGTTTCTAATCTTAGAATTTTCTCTAAATCTTACAGATATCTATTATACTTGAATCAATTTAGTAATTTATTATATTTTAAAATTTAAGATATATTAGTTAAATTTATAATAATAAGCTTAATAGTAAGTTAGTATAGGATATTATAACAAATCTTAAATGAAAAACAATATTGAAGGGAAAAATAAATTTGTGTAAATTTAAATTGATTCTTTTATTTATAATATGAAACTTGTATAAAACTTACAAATAAGTTAATTTACAACTTAAACAAAAGTTATTCTATTTATATAAAATTAATTTACTATAGCTAACTACTTGCTATGCAATAAACTAACTATTTTAATAAACTTTAACTATACTAACTTATATTAAATTACCAGATTTATAATCATATGATTTATCGCATTCGTAATAAATTTGTAATTTCTCTTTAATGTACATAAAAATAATAAAAAATATATATATATATTCTTTATCTTCTACAAAATAGAAATATATAAAAACAAGTTATCTAAAATTTAACGTAAAAGAATTATCAGTGTATATCTAAGTGATACTAAGTAAATGGTTATTTTAATTCAGCTTAGTATTCTTACTAGCACTGTCAATAATATTATAAAAAGATATAAAAAACAGGTTTTACAATATTTGAAAAGTGTCTTGATTATCTTAAAATACTTAATCATCATGATAAATAGACCTTATAATATATCATTCAAAATAATCAGTTCACTCCTCTTAATAATATAATAAGTAGATTAAACTTTAGTCTTGATATCA